GACAGTGATTTCTTAATCATTTCTCATGTTAAACTATCTAAAACACATTCTTAAATGTCACGAAATCTTTCACAATCACTAATCATAACCTGGAATTCATAATTCATGATTCAAATTCAAGGTAGAATCTTCAAGTCATTTTAAAAAGTCTTACAAATTCTTTAAACTTGTTTTAAGTCTTAAGCATTGAGTTCAGTAAGAGTAAGAGCAAAGTTCATTTCTTCAAAAAAATATATGAGAACAAAGTATTTTCAAGAGTTAAAATGTTTTCACATTTAAACAGAAAAGGAAACATCGATTTTCAAGAGAGATTTCAAGCTAGGTTTTTTAGTCTCCGTAAACCATGTAGTCATTGTGGGTACAACAGGTCATATATTTTAGATGATTCCTTGATTCTTTTTGGCATAGACTAGTAGATCCACTTAGTTGAGGCGTTCTATATCTCGACAATTTATAGGACAATTTTTGCAGCGTGAGCGAGACGTTGTAATACAAAAAATAGAAAATGAAAATTTGTTTTTAACTATTTCGATGATAATTGATTTTCTACCATGTGTTTTTCTAGTAAACTGATTCATGATTCAGTAAAAAATAAATGAAAAATATAAGTTCCATGACATAAATTTTTCACTCATTCGTAATAAGAAAAATCTTTATTTTTAACTGTGAGTTAAAAGTAAGCACTATTAATTAACTTATAATAATAACACCAAAACATCTAACATCATTCAAATCAATTTACAGGAAATTTGGAATATCCCATAACCATTCATGATTATTTTTCCTCCAACAGCAGCTAGTAAATAAGCACCTATATATATAAATATATATTCTAATTTCTGAGCTAACAAACTCGATACGTGATTTAAGAAAGATTAACTTCATATAATAACGTTACAACTTGATGTTGCCATGTTTTTTATGTGGTTATAAGTATCTCGTCAAAGATTAAAATACAATAATGTTAAGTGTTGTATCTGAAACTGAGATGCAATGTATAGCTGGGACGTTGAATAATGCATTTAAAATTGAAACACAATATATTAAAATATTTTGATATATATGCGAATTTTGCCAAATTTAAGAAAACTTTAGAATTTTAAAAGATTATAATATAATTGGCTTTTAATTCTATGAAATTTGCAAAAAAACAAAATATGTATAATAAATGAAAACCTCTATATTTTTGCTTTTAAAAAGAGAGATTCTTGAAGTATTAAAAATGGTACAATATCTTTCATCCACTTATTGACTTCAAAATACCCTTTTCATCCACCTATTGACTTCAAAATACCCTTCTCATCCATCTTTGAATTCAAAATTAACCACTTATTTAACGATTATATATTTAAACTATTTAAATAATTTTTTTAATACATGATACTCAACTATTATTATAATTTAATTTATTAATATAATTTATAAATTAATCTATCCCCCGTTACTAATTAAATCACACGCAATAACCCACCCCATTGTGATGCAGGGAAAAGTATAAAATAACCCCTGAAGTATTAGAAAGGTCACAAAGGAAATAGCCATTGAGAAAATGAGTGGGGCATATCCAAACAAATAGAAGTATGTAGTATTATAATATTCTAATTCAATTTTTAAAACTGGTATTTACGACATAAAAAGTCATCAAAAATTATGAAAGCTCATTTGTTTTCATGTGTGTGTAACACGCGTAAAATTAGCATAATTCTATTTGTCTATTTTTATTTGTTATGTTATATTTTTTAAAAGTCAATTTAACTAATTTTTTAAAATTTTAAAAATAATTAACATTGAAGTATCAAAATAAGGCAATTGAAAATGGACTAGCTTGAATCAAATTTAATTCAATTTCAAAAAAATAACTCATGAAATATAAATTATTCAAAATTAATACGTAATGAGATAATATATACTCTAGTTAATTTCCTTTAAGTTACGTGGGACACTTGACAAGATAAAAAAAAAGATTCCCATTTGAGAAAATAAGAATATATACTACAAAATTTGAATAATTGAGTGGAAAGCTAAAAAATTTGTAGCAAAATTCCAAGATTTGGTTTTGTGGCCATGGATGATTTGGGAGCTAGTTTTTTCTTTTTTTTTCTCTTGTTATTTTATGCTTGGTCCATATTATCTAACATGAGAAATATTTACAAATAAGCTTGGAAAATTTAATTTAATCTGAGTAGTATTGGAAAAAAATGAGTAATAAATTTATCTAAAATAGACAAGTAAAATGAGTATTCAAACAATATTTTATGTAACATAAATGTTATAATGTTGAATATTACAAATATTTTTTTCCATAAAGTCATAGTAGTATAGTGTCACAAGTTGCAATAATGCGTTTCATATCTAGCGAAGCAATCACAACATTCATGCCCTGAATAAAACGGTCGATGTATGCGGTGGCGGATTCAGAATTTTTATAAAGGACTTTTGGGAAAAAAAAGTAGTACTTAAGATTTGAGGTTCGAATTTCTTAATCAGTAAGTCAATCTCTAATCTTATATTCATGAGGTTCAAAATCAATATATAAACATAAAAAATTGTTAAAAATACCTTAAATATACAACTTAATTTTTTAACGAGGGGATTCGGATGAACCCCCTTTGCAAACTCTAAGTTCGCCCCTAGGTGTATAGTGTCATAGTAGGATAGTGTTAGACAGTTATTTTATATGTTATCACTTGTGTAAACCTCCCATATATTCTGAGTGAATTAGTTTATTTGTCTCTATATTTGTACTCTCATATTTGTATATTAGATCGCTCATCTCCTTTGTGGACGTAGGTATATTGACCGAACCACGTTAAATTTTTATGTTTTTTGATGTATTTCACATTTGTTTTCTTACTCATAATCTTTCAAAATTTGTTTTGCTAAGTTTCCTCATTCCATCTAATTATTTCGATTCTAACAAGTGATATCACATTCGAAAACATTTAATTTCCAAAAAAAAAACATGCTTAAAATAACAAGAGAACAAAGAAGGACAAGCTTAATATATGAAAATAGCTCCCCAATCATCCATGACCACAAAACCAAATCTTGGAATCTTACTACAAATTTGTAGCTTTCCCCTCAATTATTCAAATTTTGTTTGTAGGTCACATTGTTATTTTATCAAACAAAGAATCTTTCTATTATCTTGTCAAATGTCTCACGTTAGTAATTATTAAAGGAAATGAACTATATATTATCTCTTTACATATTAATTTTGAATCATCTTTATTTCATGAGTTATCCTTTTTGAAATTGAATTGAATTTACTTAGAGGATTAGACTTAATTAAACATCGTTAATTTTTTTTATTTACTTTAGATGTGATTATGTGATAGTTAACCTCCATGATTAAGAAAAAAATCTTAAGTAAAAAAATTAATTTATATTTTATCATATTTTTATTTTTTTTTATTTTTATGTGTGTCAATTACTTTTCTAATTTTGATTAAGTTTCTTAGTGAAAATTTTGTCTTAAAATCTATCTAGAGTGAAGCAATATTAATCCAACACCTAACTCACATTAATCCAATTATACGTAACACACATCGAATCATATAATTAAAGGGACTACAATCACCTAACACTTTTTTAAATAATGTTAAATTCTTTTTAAATAGTGTATTTTGAAGAATGACTTAAAGTATCTTAATATTTTTGAAAAGGTTTAAGTCATCTGCGGCCCCTTAAAGTTGTCCACATAATTTACTTAGACACCTGAACTAGGACTTATACCTATTAAACACCTAAATTGTTCAAGACATGTGCCTATTAAACACAAAACGCTGATTTGGCAAAATAAGTGTACCTCACTTATTATTAGGCGCGTGAATAGATTCAAATAACATTTTAGTTTTATTTATTTTAAAAAAAATTGTACTTTTTTTGTTTTATCAAACACTTGACGTTAAAATTACTAAAAAAAATTGTTTAAAATTAATTTTTTTATAAAGAAAAGAAATTGACTCCACTTCCGGTCAAACTCTTCTTCCCTAACCTTTCTGCATTTCTTTAAAGAAATTGACTCCACTTCCAGCCATAATCTTGTTCGCCCAAACTTTCTGCATTTCTTTTTCTTTGTTATTTCATTTCTTTTCATATATATATATACTAATTGATAAAAAAGTTTGTTGCCCTCCGTCCATCTCTATTTTTGGCATTCTAAACAGACATTATCAGTCAAATTAAAATGTAAACTAATAAGTTTATTGTGAAAAACGATATCATAAATTCCATAGAATTAATTTGAATATTTTAGATTTCTCTTCGCTGATAATTTCAAAAAGATTCATGTCGATTTATTTTTCACAAGCATTTCAAAAATTACTTTGCTATGCACACAAATTGTAGGAGTAATAAAAAGAAAAGAAAAAAAGATGGTCCGCCGGAACAATCGAGAGCGATGAGTGGCGAGAAGAAGAACGACAAGGGTTTCAGTAGGTAGGATTAGATTAATTAGGGCTGGAAATTATTTTTATCTTTCAAAATTAAAAATTCATTTCTTAAGGTTAGATTGAGTTATTGACCACGTGTGACAATTTTATTGGTAACTTTATCAAAGTACTGCGTGTGAGTTACATCAATAATGTCTTTTATGTTGATTATCATTTTGTGTTCAATAGACACACATTTGTTAATATTAAAGTGTCTAATAGGTATTAAGTCTGGTTGAGGTGTCTAAATGAATAATGAAGACAACTTTAAGGGGCCGCGGATGACTTTGGCGTATTGAAAAATCCAATTAATTTTAACCCATGGCACCAACTCATATATGACGTTTGTGTGTATTGGTGAGCAATATTTTCTTATTTAACGTTTTATTTGACTAAATTGACATGTGATTTTATATGTGAGTATGAAAATTTATTAGTCTTAATTTATATTGATTAACCTATATATTATTATTGATTATGAAAACAAAAAAAAATTATTATTATTGATTCAAATTCACTGATAGTATAAAAGAACTTTTATTGTATGCAATGAAAGTCCCCTCTCTCTATATATAAATACACCCTCATGAGTAAGCCTTCATTATAAAAACAAAAAAGGAAACACACAATCCTCAAAAATCATGACAAAATCTCAAACCTCTTCACCAACTCCTCATAAATATTTACAAGAAGATGATGTAAGTGAAGATTGTAAGAAATTGCTTTCTACCCTACCAAAAGAAAGAGGATGGGTTGGATCTTATGTGTATAATTATCAAGGCTTTTGGGCATTACCAAGACTTATCCAAGGGGTGATTGCATGTCAACGACAATATCAAGCTCAAGATAATGATATCATTCTCGTTACGGCTCCAAAATCAGGAACCACTTGGTTAAAAGCACTTTTATTTTCTTTAGTGAATCGAAAAAAATATCCTGTTTTTGAAAAAAATCATCCGTTACTTGTCAAGAACCCTCATGATCTTGTTCCATTATTAGAACAAGATCTATATGTTGATGGTCAAGTTCCTGATTTTTCCTTGTTCACTTCACCTACACTCATAGCAACTCATGTTCCCTTTGCTTCATTGCCAAAATCAGTTCAAAACTCAAGAACCAAACTTGTTTACTTATGTAGAAATCCAAGGGACACTTTTATTTCTATGTGGCAGTTTACAAATAACTTAAGACTTGATAGTCATAGAGATACCAATTCTATTGAAGAAATGTTTGATCATTTTTGTAAGGGCGTGGGTCTTTATGGACCATTTTGGGATCATGTGTTGGGTTATTGGAAAGAAAGTATAGAAAATTCTGATAAAGTACTTTTCTTGATGTATGAAGAAATTAAAAAGCAACCTAAAATTCAACTTAAACGCTTGGCTGAATTCTTGGACTGTCCATTTTCCATAGAGGAAGAAGATTGTAGGGTTGTGGATGAAATATTAAGAATGTGTAGCTTTGGAAATTTGAGGAATTTGGAGGTGAATGTAAATGGGAACATGTCGGCTGGAATGGCAAATAAAAATTTCTTTCGTCGAGGAGAAGTTGGAGATTGGAAGAATTATTTTACTGTTGAGATGAATGATCGACTCAATCATATCATTGAACAAAAATTTCATGGATCTGGATTGAAGTTTGTGTATATTTGATTAGGCATTGATATGTTAAATGCAATGCCATATGTTAATTGAATGCAATTATTTATTTTGAAAATCAATATTGGGAGTAGTTTTATTGAGATTAATCTGTTTTAAAAGTTCACCTGTTAGAAAATTAATACGTACAATGACATATTTTATATTTTGAAAGTCAAATAGTTTAAGTTTGATTAGAAATTTGTGTATGAAATTTTCAATTTTTTTTGAAATGAAATTTATATATTTGTAAACTACGTAAAAAGTATTATGAGTCACAATAATTGATAACTCAAAATGTTTAAAAAATGTATGAAAAATTACTGTCAAAGATAAACTTGTTTGACTATTGAAATTTAAAAAATGACATATAAAATGGAACGGAGGTAATAATAAATTAATATTTTATTTATTGTGTCATGAACAAGTAATTTTTTAAATAAATATTTCACACCAAATCCCTCCTACTATAGTAGTACTGAAAATGAGCTTGGTTTTTATTTATTTATTTTGATTTTAAGTCCAACAATTATGGCTATAAATGTCAAATAAAAAATTGAATGCTCAAGAATTTACAAAATTGATCAGAATGAGTTTTCTTAAATATCTATAGAAGGGTGATTTTTTCTCTTTTTTTTTTTTTTGCCACCATTATCAATATATCATTCTTGTGCAAAATTTTTGTTATTAGGAAATAAAGAAGAATGGCTTATGGCCTTTCTTATGAGAAGTATATGTACAATTCAAGTTCGAAAAATATTCAGTTACCTATAAATCAAATATATTTATTTAATTATTTTATTGCAAGTTTGTACATAGTTATAATGTAGATTTAAATGTAGTAATTTTAATCTTTATGAGGTAAATGTTCTATTATAAATTTTAGAAATAATTGTGTTAATTTCTTATTGGATTTTGATAATTCTTACAAGCTTGAAGAATACGTTATTATTAGTTATGTATCAAATGTGTAACTCTTTTTAAAATTAAATTGTAGCAAGTTTGTGTGTAGTTATAGTGTAATTGAAATAAGACTTGAAGAATACTTAAACAATAGCTGTATTTTGTTACTATATTTTAATTAATTTGTTGCAAGTTAATTTTAGGAATAATTATGTTAATTTCATATTGATTTTTTTGGATGATTTTGTACATGCTTCCGTAACAAATGAAATACTTTTAGAAAATATGGATATCTCTTTCATCTCAAAATAATTTATATATAATTAAAAATAGGCAAAAGAAGATGATGTGGAACTTTTCTTTGCCCGATAATTTTATTAATCTTTTTATTTATTTTTCTTAATTATTTTATTTTAATGATTCACTTTATCTCTATGGTTTGCCTAGTTTTTTAAAATCATAATCTAACTTTACTATTTGAGAGAGAATTATAACAAACTTTGAAAGTGCGTTGTTAAGAATTTTCAAAAAAGTTTTAACTTATGAAATCTTGATGGATAAATCAGTATCATTCATAAATCACAAGTATTTTAATTTCTTTGACTCATTTATTAACCTAACAGTTTTATTCTTTCTCCTACGAAAATAGAGTTTTAATATTATAGCAAGCCACACTTTAATATATCATTTAAAGAATTTTCAAAACAAGCAATGTTATAATTTATAATAACTATAGTAGTGAATCAAATTTTAAATTAATAATGAATTAATCAAAATGAGTCATCGCACTGCATGAAGCGCAGTCAAATTTACTGATAATAAAATAAGGGCAATCATATGTAAAGGAAATTGTCATGGTCTACTATTTGTAGATGATGAAGTATTAATTGAAGATATATAGAAAAATATTAATGATAGACTGGAGGTTTAAAGATAGTACCTAGGATTCGATAGTTGAAGATGAGTAGGACAAAAGCGAAGTTCTTAGAAGATAAGTTTAGTGAAGTAACTGACGAGACAAATGTGGAGATGATTATTAATATACAACTCATTCTCAAATAAGCAAAATTTCAAGTATTTTGGTCAAAGAAAATATGAAGATCAATGATGATGTTATACATGGTATTGGAGTAGAGTGATATGGATGAAATGGAGGATTAGCGAAAATGAGATGGATGCATGAGCATACTTGTTGGAGAGATAAAACTAGAAATGAAGGACGAAGTGAAATGACCCTCGTGGTTAATGTCACGACCAATTCACCCGGTTATAGGGGCATCTACCCTAACACTTAAGTAAGGGAAACCTCGTAACCCAATAGTTAAAAACATGCGAAAATTTAAAATAAACTGAGACTAAAGAGATTTTCAAGATTTATAAGTAAAACATTAAGAATTTTGAATTAAGACTGGTAAAGTAATTAAAAAATATCACGCTTCGACCTATATCCTGGACGTGGCTGGCACTCGAGAACCATTGTTGGCTCCAAATGAAGCCTTGACCTGGCTTACTTATTTAGCGAAAGACTCATTTAAGATAAATACTTTTAAAAAAAGTAAACCGTACTGCTCAAAATATAACCTAGAAAGTATTATAATAACATTCACTGTCAAAGTGGCAACTCAAGTCTCAATTTAACTGAAAAGAAAAGTAAAGACATATAAATTAAACATCAACTAACTCTGTCGATGAAGCCTCTAACTGTGTGGGATGTCGGGAAGATCCCCGATCATCGTAACAACTGAAACAAGCAAGCAATAGAATAAAACATAACCAACAAGATCCTCTGGAAAGCAAAGAGGCTCACCAACTGACTATGAGTGCTCCACTTGATTAACAAAGAGCTGGATGTTGATCCTGGTTATATGTATTTGCATCATAAGATGATGCAGGCGAACTAGTATCAATACAATAAATGTAAGAGTATGCGAGTGGAAATGCTAAATATAACATATGCTTGAAAAGAATCTGAAGAACTAACCTAACTGAACTCATTTCAATATATATTTTTTTTTTAAAATCAAATGCAATATAAAAAAAATTGTTTAAAACATGATGTCAACTTTTTTATGTATGCAAAGATATATAAAAACTCTGAAATGTATGTAAAAATACAAATAAATAGTGTATATAAGAATACAATTATTTCTATAGTAGTTTCTCTAATCGACAACTGCCACTTAAGAGCTATTGTGATGATACAATGTTTTGTCTCACACTATCAGAGTCGTCCTATACCTTGCCGAGGGTATAGAACATAAACTACTAAGTAGATCCACTAGTCTATCCTAAAAAACACTAAAGGAATCATCTAAAAGTATGATCTTTTCTACCAACGGTGGATAAATGGTTTATGGCGGCTCGGAGTTATCTGAACCCCATATCAGTGCTCAATACTACTCCCAAAATATACTAGTTCTTAATGTTTAAAATAACTTCTTTCTGTGATTTGAGATAATTATTCAAAATTTAGCTCAAACCCTATCTTGAAAGTCAGTTTCCTCTCTTACAAATTGTGAAAGCATTACTCTTTACTGAAAACTAGCCCAAATGCTCTTTTGAAAATCTCAGTTTTCTTTCTTGTTTAAATGTGAAAACATGTACTCTTTACTGAAAACTAGCTCAAAGGCTCTTTTGGAAATCTCAATTTTCTTTCTTGTTTAAATGTAAAAACATTTACTATTTGAGAATACATAGTCCCGATATACTCTTTTGAAAAGACTTCAATCTTTACTCTTTAGTCAACTCAAAAGTTAAGTCTTAAAACAAAGTTAAAACATTTATAAAAAAAAATTGAAAACTTTATGAACTTCTCTCGACTTAACTCTTAACTTCTTTTGACTTGACTCTTTACTTACCTTGAATTGTATTTATGGATTCAAGGATCATGATTTGTGATAGGAAAAATCTCATGATGTTTTGCAATAATTTTAGATAGTTAACCAGGAGAAACGATCAAGAAATCACTAAAAAGTTGCTCCGCGATGCGGAGGTGTATCTAAATTTTGATCGCGAAAATACTTTTTCAGGTAGCACAATCCGTGACTACTCCACGACGCGAAATGATTTTTTTCAAAACTGTGGGGTGGGTCCGCAACGCAGCATGCGACACCAAATTTGCCTGATTTTTTTATCTTCTTTTTCCAACCTAAATTCTACTACTATTCTCAAGTTCTCTTTATATTAAGATACCCACTATATATCCACACGAATCTAATTCAAACAACTCAAAAAAATAGTATTTAAACCATAAGAAACTCCTCAATCTCAACCTGACTCAAGAACGAAGATCAATTATAAGAACGACATTTAAGATTCATCAACTTTCAAATTTCTAAAACAAATTTCGCTGAAATAAACGTGATTGGCACGGGGGTGAATGAATCCAACTCTATGAAGAACTCACATACTTGTAGGGATTACTGATTGTTGAAATCTACAAGCGTTTCTTGAAGATCTTAACGATTCAGACTCTTTCTCCTATTTTCTCCTCTTTTTTTTCTCTTCTTCAAAAACCCTAACTAAGTTCCAAAAGATTAAATTGAATCCTATTAGTTTAGACCCCAAATTAATTACCAAAAACAAAAATTATTAATTGGGTGGTGAAAAGACCATAATGCCCTTTAAAAATTCGGATCGGACTTTCCTTATTGAACATCCAACTTCCAATGGGCATAACTTACTCATACGAACTCGAAATCGCGTAAACTCAAAGGCGTTGTAAAGATTATTCAAAGGTATTTTCTACCAAAATTTGGAAGTGCTCCTAACTCATCTTGAAGAAGTTATAGACATTTGTAATTGACCAGAAACTTAATTTTTCGTAATCTAAATGAATTTTCATATTTTCATTATTTCCAAAAATGACTATTTCACGTGCTTAGCTTCTTCCTAACTATTTCAAGTTGCGAGATGTTACATGAACACTCCAGGGATCTACTCTAAACAGGTACAAGAGCTACTAAGAGTACAACGCAAGATATGATAATGAAAAGAC